TATATATATATATATATTCTCACTAATTTTAATAATCTTGAAATATGCAGTCAAATGATCACTCTAAATAACAATCAAAATGTGTTTTAATCATTGATCATTGTTTAATAAAAGTTATTAACAATCATAATAAATATGTTTTAAGTTTGATATTTCATTCATCACTGTTATGTAATTTTATCTTAATTTTCTGTAAATAGATAATTAATTGCTTATAAAAACTTTAATTTTAATAAATAAATGTTAATTTAAAAAAATATATACATACGAGATATTTTCAAATTTATACATTATTGTGAATATTGTTTCACTAATATAAGTACAGTTATATAAATATTTTTGTCATAAACAAATTTCGTTATTGTAATTAATAAGTTATTAATTACGCTTTTATTGATCATTCTATATTTACACATTCAAAGTTACCGGCTGCAGCGACATTCAAGGATTATCTAGAATATATAAAAGATTTACCTTTAATCGACAATCCGTCATTATTTGGCATGCATTCAAACGCCGATATAAGCTATGCACAAGCAGAAGCACATGCTTGCCTCACAACTTTATTAAACATGCAGCCCAGGGAACTTGACGTTGCAACCACAAGTGTCGAGGAGGTAACAACTCAAATAACCAAGAATATGTTGGCCACAATGCCCGAATCCTTTGATTTAATCGCAATACAAGCAAGGTACTAGTTAATATTTCTTTTTGTGTACAAATGCAAACATATATTTTTGTTTCTAAAAGTTTATTTTTTAAATATATTCTTATTGTCGCTACCTTGTAATTTAAAATAAAAAGCATTTTGTGATTTGATTATAAACCACACATTTTACAAAAAATATCTTTCTGTATACTTTTTAAAATATAGTAATATAATTAACATTATTTTATGACACATTATTTAATTTCTTAAAATTAAATTTTGTGCATAATATCTAACAATATATTCACTTTTCATATTTTATATTTTCGAAACAAGTATAACTCTTGTAAAAAATAATTGAAAAATTCTTGATTCAAACTCAAATGAAATTAATCTAATGTGTGTAAGAAGCAATATCTTGCAAAAAAGTTAGATAAAACATTTGTTGAATCAGTAAATAAAATAAATTGAATTTCAGGTACCCTATGTCGTACGAGGAATCCTTTAATACCGTGTTACTACAAGAAGCTAAGCGATATAACGATTTACTCAAAATTGTGCAATCAACGTTGCAAGATCTTTTAAAAGCTTTAAAAGGATTGATCGTTATATCAGAACAGCTAGAAATGATAGCTACCAGTCTTTTTAATAATAAAATACCTGTAAATTGGCAAAGCAAAAGTTATCCTTCTTTAAAATCTTTAGGTAAGAATATCCCAATTACAAGTTTATCAATATGTAATACAATTTTTATTTCAGTCTCGAAGTCAGTTTCTAACAAACAAACTGACATTATTTGTTGTCATTTTGATGTCAAAAATTTGTTATAACAAATATTTTTTATCATTTTGATTAGCCGGATGGTTCGTCAATTTAAGGGAAAGAATTAAGTTTATAAGCAATTGGCGAGACCAAGGTATACCGCCTGCATTTTGGTTGTCAGGATTTTATTTTCCTCAAGCCTTTTTAACTGGCACGTTACAAAATTTTGCGCGTAAATACGTATTATCCATTGACACAATCGATTTTAGTTACAAGGTATGCTTTCAGCTTTTAATTAAATTGTTAATAGGTTCATATTGATGTACTAACTGTAGAAAAATATATAAAAAATATTTAATAGACACTTTCAGTTATTCGAGAGATTTGTTAATATAAGTAACAGCTATAGTCAAATAAAACTTGATTCGTTGATTCTATATAATCTAAAATAATTACAAATATTCTACATCTAAATAAATGTTATTGATCAACTAATAGATATAAAAATCAATAATAATCTTTGTTTAAGTATGTATTGTATGATTTTGCAAAAATTTGAAATTATATCTATTAATCTTGACAAAATGGATAAAAAGATATTTAAAGCAAAGTCATGAGCAATATTATGTGTGTCACAGATTTTAACTTCCAAACCAACGCAGAGACCATTGAATGGCTGTGTCATTTACGGACTTTTTTTAGAAGGCTCCCGGTGGGACGGAAACTATCTCGTCGAGTCTTTACCAAAGGAATTATTCACCGGTTAAGTATTAATAATGTTTCCATTACACTAAAATTAATTTCATTTGAATTATTAAAAGCTAAATTATTAAATTACTAAAGTAAATGTATGTATATAAATAGCCATACTTTGTTGAATAAATCATAAATTATTTAATTGCTCTGAATTCCGTTTACATAACGATATACATAATGGTATGGTAATTGTTCACTTGCTGTCCAGACATGCCGCCAATTCTTGTATTACCAGAAGTTCATCACGTAATTCCGCCTCACAAAATTTACGTATGCCCTGTATACAAAACTATCGAGCGATCTGGAACTTTAAGCACAACAGGACATTCCTCGAACTTTGTTCTAGCGATAGAAATTCCAATTGACAAACCGCAATCACATTGGATAAAAAGAGGGGTAGCATTGATATGTACTTTAGACTATTAACATTTCTCTGTTGCTATATACTATAGCGTTTATGATTTGTGATTGACAATTGTTGAAGTATTCGTAATATTATTCATATACATGCATTATTAATATTATAATTATAATAATGATTCTATCAAATAAATTTTTTATTGTAAAACAGCATTTTTCATATTGTAATATTATTATTATTTTGTTTAGATGTATATCCTACATAAAATATATACGTTACATTCATCATGAAATAATTATAAATTTATCGTATATATTGGTAACAATTAATCATTAATAATTACAGTTGTAAAAATATATTAATTAAATGTATGAATTAGTTATTTGCTTTATTAAAGCCTCTTATAAAATAAATTATACATGAAATATACAAAAAAACATATACAAATATACAAAAACACATATACTTAATTAGATAAATAAGAATACACTTTTATTATATGATATCTTTTTATTAAAAATAAAAAATATTAACAAGAGCTCTTTTATTAAACTCTAGAAACAATTTCAAACAGATAACAATAGCGAATGGAAATTTTATTTATAGAACAAAAACTATTTGTTAAAAATAGTTTAATCAATGTTTGCATTCACTTATCTTTCTCGTATAATTTGGGATCTTTACGAGTATATCGATCATGTGCTGCAGGTGCCCACGTCATTATTCCAATTGTCATTATACATCCTAAAATGAAAAATATTGATAACACAATTATGAAGAGAAAGGAAATATTAAATAAAACAGAGAAACTTTAAGAAAAGTTGCGTTATATATAAATTGTCAGTCCAAATAACAATAAAAAGTTCATAAAAATAAAATTTTAGAGATATATAAATCTTCAATAAATAATTCTCGCATATGATGAAATTTTAAATCTTTCTTTTTATAAATCAATACGAAATTATTTAAATAAAATAATTAGATTTTACGAATATTATTGGCTTTTTTAAATAAAACATACCTTTCACATTTAAAATATACATTATATTACAAGAATTTACAAATAATTTGGGAACATTTATATGTATTTCATATATAAAACATTAAATGCAAAAGGTTTCAACTTCCAAAAAAAATTAAGAAACTATTTATTTTTATCATATAATTCTTTCTTATTAAAAAGCCGCTCGTAAAAATAATTCTATTTAAATACAACTTAAATATAACCTAAATATAACCTATATCTCTATAACTTATTTTTTAAGAATTAGTATAATGAATATATTCTTTTATACTTCTATATACTTCTATATACATGTAAGATATTTTATATATCTTTAACTTCTTAAATTATAATAATTTTTTTTAAATAAACAGTTTTAAAGACTATACTTATATTTATTTATATACATATAAATAATGCGTTAAAAACTTATGCTGAAAATTTTAATCTAATTGGATCTAACAAAACATTGTATATGAAAAAGATATAAAAAAAAATACGTAAAAATTATTTTGCAAAAAATTATTTAATAAAAAGAAGGATTGAGATATTTTAAGTAACAATTCTATATTGATGTCATATTCTTATTTTTATAAATTTGTAATATTGTTAATCCATAATCTGATATCAAAAATATCATATTAATGCTGATTTTTTTATCTTTTAACTAAAATAAAAACTGATCATTGCAAATAGTAATACGATGTCGTTAAATGTATGTATATTTATTTAATAATAAAAAACGTTGTTAAATAACGTTACAACCTATTTATGACACAATTTCTGTCTTTATGTATATTTTATTATACTATAAAAAAAATTTTGCAGTATATAAATGATTGAGTGATTTTAGAAATTTACAAACGTATTCAATCTCTGTAGATAAACGAGAACCAATTTCACATAAAATTTAATAACATTTGAATTTAATGATAGCGTAAGATAAAATTTAATGAAAATGAAATTAAAGTTTTGTTGCTTTGATAATTCAGTCTAAAATTAAAACAGTTTTTTCGCTTTGATAATTTAGTTTAAAATTAGAACATTGTTATGTTAAATAGATGAAATTTATTCGTATAAAGTGCATATGCAAAATAATTTTTATGCATTCTTTTTTATATCTTTTTC